AAAATTCATATAGAAGCCAAGACCACAAATGGCCAATGAAATCCTGGGCAAAAAGAGCACAGCTGGAGGCATCACAGTACCTGGTCTTGAATTACAGTACAGAGCCACGGTGGAAAGATGGCATCACACTGGAGCAAACACAGACACATAAACCTACGGACTAGAGCAAAGAAACAAGCCATAGACACAGGATTTTTCCCCGAAGGTGTCAAAAACATACACTGTAGGGAAGACCGCCTCTCCCACGAATCGTTCTGGGAAACTCGATTTGCACGCGTAGAAGAATGAAACCAGATCCGTGTCTCTCACTCTGAACAAAAATCAATTCACATGGATCAAAGGCCTTAATATAAGACCTGAACCCGAAACTGCTAAGAAAAACATATGCAAAACACTAGAAGAGATAGGACTTGCTAAAAAGGACTCCAGGGCAAAGGGATCCCAAATACTGACAAATGGGATTGCAGGAAATCAAAAGGCATCCGCACAGCAAAGGAAGCAACCATCAGAGTGGAGAGATAATTTACAGAACCAGGGAAAGCGGCTTTACCAAGTGGACATCCGACAGGGGATTAACATCTAGAATATGTGGAGAACTGTGGGGCCTGGAGATGAGGCTCGTTGATAGAGTTCTTACCTAGCGTTGTAGGAGGCCCTGGGTTAGAATCCTAGCTCCCCATAAAACTGGGCATAGTGGTGCACATCTCTAACCCACATTCAGTCCGAATACAATCTCTTAGTAGGTACAGGCAAGAGGATCAGAAGTTTAAGGCCACCCTTGATTACACAGTGAGTTTGAGGCCAGCCTGGGGTACAGCTGGTTGAAAGACACAGTCTAAATGTTATCACTCCATCTAAACAAACAATCTAAACAATCCCAGAGAACTTCAAAAATTAAACACACACAAAAATCATCCAATTAACAAATGAGGCAAAGGACTGAATAGACAGTTCTCAAAGAAAAAGAAATATACATGCAAAAAATAAAAAAAAACCTGAGAAGTGTATCCTTGGCTAGCCATCAGCCACAGAAGAAAGACAAATTAGTACTCTGAAGTTTGATCTCACGCAGTCAGCATGGCTGTCAGTGGAACCGAGGTCAATGAATGTTGGTAAGGGTGCAGAAGAAGATCCTGTGTACACAGCTGATGGGGCAGCAGCCTGACATGGCCACTAAATCAGCCTGAAGACGTCTCAAAAAGTAAAATTAGAATCACCATATGACTCAGCAGTCCCACACTTGGCTAAATGCCCCAAAGACTCCATCCATGTTTAGTACTTGAATTGTTCATAGAAGCTAGGAAAGGGAACCAGTCTGGATGTCCATCAACAGGTGAAGAGATAAATTGTGGGACATATACACAGTGGAGTTTTATTCAGCCATATAGAAAAATGAAATCATATTTTCCAAAAAAATTGATGCTGCAAGCCATATTAAACAAAATAAGCCAGGCATAATAAGACAAATACTACATGGTTTATCTCACGTGTGGAACCTAGAGTAAAAAACAAATGTGTATGTGGGTAATGAAATCAGAATGATCGTGGGAGCAGAGGAAGCAATCTCAAGGAGTAAGGGGGAAAGGGATGGCGTACCTGTAACCCCACAGCAGAAGGGGAGTATCCAGGGAAGAAAGGGAGCCCTCCAGGTGGGTGAACACACATGGCAGCCACTGGGGGAGCGGTGAGCTAGAACAAAGAATACTAACACATTTGTGTGAGGATTCCATAGTCTCATTACTTTGTATGCTGACTTAAACTTTTATTTGTTTTCTATGTGTATGAGTGTATTGTCTGCATGTGTGGAAGTGCACCCGTGTCATGCGATGCCTGCACAGGTCAGAAGAAGGAGTTGGGTTGCCTGGAACTGGAGTTATCCATGGTTGTTAGCTGCCATGTAGGTGCTGGGATTTGAACCCCAGTCTCCTGCAAGAACAGCCAGTGCTCTTAACCATTGAGCCATCTCTCCAGCCCACTGACTTAAAATTTTAACTTAACAAAAATGATGACAAAACAAGCCTGAGAAAGAATCCAGAGAGCATCTCAGGTCTGTGTAAGTCAGTCTCTGCAGTGTAGTCCCACCATCTAATAAAAACTTCTCAAAGCTGGACGTGATGGCGCATACCCTGGTCCACATAGCGAGTTCCAGGCCAGCTGGGAGTACAGAGAGACCCTGTTTCAAAAGATTTTAAAAAAGAAAAACTTCTCAAAGACAAATACAATCTGAAGGCATCATTTAGACTGAGTCCTTCAACCAGCATAAAATAAAATTAAGCTACAACTTTGGAAAAATAAATGAATAAATAATAAATAAATAAAGCCAAAAGGAGTCTGTGTCTCCAGCTGGTGGGACTAGGGGAATCTCTTCTCCTGCTTTACAATTAAAAAATAATGA